ATGCTGTTGTTATTAAATGCCTTCTGAGTCAATTTTCAACTCATAGCAGTTTGATGAGACAAGGTTATACTGCCCCATAGAGTCTTCTAGGCTTTTAAAAAGCTTCATTTAGTATTAAAATCAAATAATCAATACATGGCTTTATGTCTTAATAGCTTCAGTTAATTATTATTATACTAGTTTATTTATAGAATTTGAGTACATTGTTTTTCACACCAGTTCCTTCCCATTTCTTTCACCCCCATGATTAACTCCCACCCCTCACATCTTCACCCCTCTGCTTCCACCCTCCCCCTGCCTTGGATTCTTGTACAGGCCCTATAATAATTTGCCTTTATGAAACTGCATTTGTTCACTCAGCATAATATTTTTCCAGTTCCTCCCAAGTTAGCTAATTTACAAAATCATTGCTCCTGTGTTGCGTAGTATTCCATTATGTCAGTGTACCATAATTTCTCAGTCTGTTCAATTGTGGTTGAACATTTGGACTTTTTCCATGTTTTTGCTATGGTGAATAACACTGCTATGAACATTGGTGACAAATCTTCTTTTGTGCTTAAGTTCTCATTTTCTTGGGGTATATTCCAAGCAGTGGAATAGCTGAGTCATATGGAATTTCTTTGTTCAGCTTTTAGAGGAAGTGCTAAACTGCCTTCCAGTGTGGTTGTAAATAAATACTTTTAGATAATTAACTTTCATTCCTAATTTCAGAATTCTCAGCGTCTTGCAGATAAGTATCGTGGCCACAAGTTTTTTGGCTCTGGCAAGAATCAAACAGAGAACTGGTGGAGGGCTTTTTCTCATCAGCTCGTAACTGAAGGATTCTTGCAGGAAGTTTCTAGGACTAACAAATTTATAAAGATCTGCAAGCTTACACAAAAGGTAAACAGTGTAGAAATTGACTTACGTTGTTTAATTTTTATCCCTATACATTATAATATTCTTTTTTGTTTTATAGGGTAGAACCTGGCTTGATAAAGCTAATAAAGAATCTCATCAGAGCCTTATTCTCCAGGCTAATGAAGAATTGTGTTCACAGAAGTTGCTACTGCTAAGGTTCATTAATCAGAGTTTTTTGTATGCTTTTTTAAAATAAATTTAGATTTTGTGTTTTTGTTTATGTAATTCAAACTATACTGTCAGTGTATAGACATTACACAAATAAAATGAATAAAGATATGAATTTGCATTCCTATTTTAATTAGTTTGAGTATAAGGATCAAATGGGAGGTTGATAAACCATTGAACTTTTTATTGGTTTAGAGGAAGTAACTAATATAGTAGTTAAAAAGCTTTTTCCAATAATTAAAGCAAGATAATTGAGATCAATATGGAAGAAACCACATATTACCTTATGTGTAGAAGATAGAAAGGGAATATTTTTATTTACTTTTTAGAACTCTTACATCTTATTAGTAATTTTATTTATCTGCTCCTCCTGTTAACTTCTTAATATGTGTATAGCTTTTTCTAGGCAGGGAAAAGCAGTTTATATTTCTATAATTCTGAAATGATAATATTGTACTTCTGAGTTTGAGGACATAAAGAATCAATTAATAATTTAATATTTACATTTGAGGTAATTTAATGTCATTATTTTTTAGTTCTAAAACTATATCATCAGTCAGTGACCAATATCCTAATGAAGTATCATTTGGATTAACTGCAGAGAAGAAGGTTTGTTTTAAATAAATTTTTCTTACTTATTTCATTCTATTGTTGCAGCTCCAATTTTAAAATTTTACATTTTCATTTCCTTCCAATTAAAGAGAAAAGAGGCATATATATAAAAATATAAATGTTGTAAATAGAAGTGATATGAACAGAATAACAATGAAGTACATGTTTTCTTATTTTAAAAGAATAGTAAAGAAGCATATAAGAAATAACATTGTGATTCTTTTAAACCGATTTTACTATTTTTCTGGCTTAGAGACTGTCTTAGAATCTGTTTGAATCGTCATAGCTGGTAGAAAAAGATGTTTGATGCTTAAATGTTCTCATTAAACCCTCATATACTTTCTTGCTTTGTTTTTTGGCCTACCTTTTCAGATCACTTACCCATAGGCTAATTTAAGATAAGTACAACACTGAGGTTATAGGCAGATATGCTGAATTAAGTTTTGGTGAACATTTTTTACTTTTAAAAATATAATATGCAGAATATAATTGAATAACTTTTATAGCTTCAGCCCTTGCTGTGTCTCAGAGCATTCTTTAGAGATTTGAAAGGAGTGGACATTGGATTACATTTTAACTGTCTGTGAGCTCTGGAAGTTACTGTTTCAAGAATTTATTCTCCAGTGATTTATTTGATAATTTGGTTGTTTGGGGGCAAGAAAGAAGTCATCTTTTGCTTTGTATCTAGTTTCAGATTTATCATGTTGTCTGGAACGTTTTAATATTTTCATATTTCTATTTTTAACTGATCTTTTTATGTTTAAAAACAGTCTAATTTGGAGAAGATGTATTCTTACAAGCCATGTGATAAAATATCTTCTGTGAGTAACATTCCTAAAAAAAGGTACATAATTAAATTTTTTTACTTTATTTTTTCTTTTCTGAAAACATAGGACTATCAGATGCTGGACTATTTAATTGTCACAGGAAACCTGTATAAAATGATGTTGTCGTCGTTATGTTCTGTTGCGTTGGAACTGACCCATAGCTGACCCTCCGGCAGGTTTTCAGAGACAATTAAATGCACAGAAGGAAATTGCCCATCCTTCCTCCATGGAGCAGCTCGTGGCCCTCAAATTGTGTGCCTTTAGAATTGCAGTGTAGCTTCTTGTCACTAGACACCAAGAGCTCCCTTATAAAATTATACCATTTGTATTAATGCTTAGTACTTAACTGAATTAATTCATAATCATCTCACCTAATTCTTATAACAACTTGTACGTTAGCTACTATTATTTTGTCCCCATTTTATAATTCAGGATAGCAAAGGCTAAGAAGTTGAATATCTTGGTAAACTGTAAGAAGTTGAATATCTTGGTAAACTGTATATGATTATATTTCTAACACCAAAAGAACAAACATGTGTGTCTTGGAAAAAGTGCAATCAGAATGGTCCTTAAATACAGAGATGGTGAAGCTTCATCTCATATACTTTGCATGTTGTTAGGAAAGGAACATCATGCTTTTAAAGGTGGAGGGTCAATACAAGAGGGTAAGACCTTCAAAGAGATGAACTATATATAGCAGTGGGCTCGGGTGTGTTAGGAATCCCGAGGATAGCTCAGGATAGGACAGGGTTCTCATTTGTTCATATTTCACTACCAGGTGTACTTGACTCAGTGGCACCTAAGCATAACAGTACTTAAATATGACTTTATTATATTTAAATGAAGTTAACTATTGCAAAGCTATTTTCAAAGAGGATTTTATGATACCATATAATCATATGTATAAAAGCTGCTAAACAGTAAAGAATCCACCTAATACTTTTAGCTTCACATTTGACTTTCTGACTTAGTAAAAATACTGAAAATATACAGAATTACTGATATAGGAGGACTGATGATGGAGAATTTGGAAAATGTTAGAGGCTACATGATATAGATGCATACCAATTAAATGGAGTTTTTTTTACTTCCATATCAGATCAAAGTAAATTTTCTAAGACTGTTACATACTTCCTAATGGCTTGTTCACTGACAAAATGTTTACAATGATACTGATACTAATCTTCCATTTAGAAGAATTTCTTTTTATTTGGATATGTAATATTTGATCATTGTTTTTACAAACAAGGTTAAAAAATAATAGCATAGTTAGCAATGTTAAAAATTGGTAACGATGTTAAAAATAATTTGATATGTTGCGGTATTTCTCTATTTGTTTTTACAAACATATGATACAGTTTTTTTTCCATTCTATTTTACATCGGATCACCTTTATTTAGGATGGGCATAAAGATATCTCTTTTGCAGTCTGTTTTCCAAGGAATTGTCTTCCAAATGGTTTGGCATAGATGAATGAACATCTCTAAAGCTGCTTCTATTTGTTAAAACATTCAGTATTTTACTAAGTTATTTTCACCTGTGCCTTCAGTGAAGCTTTGACTTCTTTCAACACCATAGATTTTGATCTTATGCAACTTCTTGAAATGTGAGCTGATTGTTTTTGTACAGTGACTGTGTGTATTCTATTTTCTCTCAGTGCTTCTTGTTCAGCACAGTGCCTGTTTAATCCTTCCCTATTGCAACTCAGTGCTTGGATTTTCATCTCGTTCTTTCCACTTGAGCCATGCATATTATTCCCTTATGGCTTTCTATCTATATCCAGATATTTTAATATTCCATTATCATACTTAATCTTCTCAAGGTGCTCATTTAACTCTTCTGTTTGGCTCTCCCACTTCATTACTTCTTCCCTTTGCTTTAACTTCTGTTTTGTAAACCAACTTTTCTAACATCTAATTTGGTCTTTTCTTACTTTTTAAATGACTTTTTCTTTTCATCATGTTTTATAAACTTGATGTCACCCTACAAGTCAGCTGATAGTAATTCTTGAGTGTTCAGTCCCATTTGTGAGACTGTCTCCAAAATCAGGTGGGGTCTATATACAAGGTTGGGTTTTTTTTGGCTCTCAGGGACTTAGTTTAATTTTTGCAACTTCAACTTGAATTTGCAGTTAACTTTTGATGGTCCATTCTGTAGTAATTCTTTTTTATTTTTCTTGTTAGTAATAAATATTAAGTGTCCCCATCAGCTCTTCCCACAGATGTAGTTGATTGGATTCCTGTGTGTTCTGTCTGGCAAGAAATGCATGTATACTTGCCATTTGCATTGTTGAATAAGCCACAGGTCATGCAGAATTCTATAATGAAATCTCTGGCACAGCTTATATCATTGTGGATATATTTTTCAACTACCCATCTTTCTTTTTTGTTTCCAACTTTTGCAATCCAGTAAGTCACCAGTAATTATCAATATGTTGTGATGTCATTCGTCTTCAGTTTGTCTTTGCCCACATAGTTATTGTTGTTGTTAAGTGCTGTGAGGTCAACTATAACTCACAGAGACCCAATGGACAATAAATCAGAACTTTGCCTTATCCTGTGCCATCATCACATTCTTTATCATTCTTAAGTCTATAGCTGCACTCACTGTGTCTGTCAGTCTATGTCGGTAAGGGTCACTCTGTCTTCTGCTGACTGTCTCAGCATGATGTCTTTTTCCAAGGACTAGCTTCTCCTGACAGCATGCCCTAAGTTGCCCCCATAGTAAACCATATGATTTTCTGATCTAAAGTTACCAAGACTAGTTCACTTCATCTCCTGAGTCCTTAGGATATCAATATTTATTCACTCCATTTCATTTTTTATAGTATCTGATTTTGCTAGATTCATACTTTGCATGTATCATATTCTGATTGCTAATTACTGGCTGCAGTTGTCACCTTGCATTTTGAGTTGTTAGAGCAACAGATGTGATAGCAACAAATGAAGGTCCTTAAAGCTTTCTTTTATCCACGTGTCACTAATTAATATAGACTCGACTTTGAGGAGGGAGCTCTGGTGATCTAGTGCTAAAGAGTTGGGCTGCCAACCCAAAGGCAGATGGTTTGATATTTGTCCTTATAAAACTGAGTTCAGTCAGTTTAATGCTCTCCAGTCTCTCCCAAGTTTTGTAGTATTTTTCAAAGTTGTTGCTTCTAAGTGCTGCATAGTATTGTATTGCGTCAATATACCACAATTTCTCAATTCATTTGATTGTGGTTGGGCATCTTGGCTGTTTGCATGTTCTTACGATGGTGAATAATGCTGTTGTAAACATTGGTGTACAAATCTCCATTTGTATCTCAGTTGTAATTCCCTTAGGATATATTCCTAGCAGTGGAATAGCTGGATTCCTATGTTCAGTTTTTTTCGAAAACACCAAACTACCTTCCAGAGTGGTTGAACCAATTTACAGTCCCACCAACAGTGTATGAGAGTTCCTGTCTCTCACATCCTCTCCTACATAAATGGCTCAGTGTCCTTCTGGAGTGAGATAATTTCTCATTGTTGTTTTGATTTGCATCTCTCTTGTCGCCAGTGAGTTGGAGCACTTCTTCATGTCTGTTGGCAAATCTGAATGTCTCTGTGAAAAGTCTTTCCATGTCTTTTGCCCATTTTGTAATTGTGTTATCAGTCTTTTTCTTGTTGAGGCCCTATAATCTCTAAACTTTTTATATGAGACCTTTGTCTGAAATGGTATTATTAAATGCTTTTTCCCAGTCATTAGGTTTTCTTTTTATCATATTAGAAAAGTTTTTGATGTGCACAGGGATATGATATTTTTCTTTACTAGGTCCGAGACGCGCCCCAGGGATATGATATTTTTCTTTACTAGGTCCGAGACGCGTCCTTGGGAAGGACATCATGCTTCGGAGGGTAGAGGGACAGCACAAGAGGGGAAGGCCCTCTATGAGGTGGATTGATTCAGTGACTGGGGTAATCGGGATGGGAGTGTCAGAGACAGTGTGATTGGCGCAGGACAGAGCAGAGTTTAGGGCTGTTGTACATAGGGTTGCTATGAGTCGCAAGCGACTCGACAGCACATAACAACAAACAACAACAGGTCCCATTCATCAATTTTGTCCTCTCCTGGTTGTGCATTTCTGGCTATATTTGTCAACCTTTTTATACCGTAGGCTAGGCTTTTTGTGCTTGGTCCCACTTTGCCTTTTACAGTTTTGTGTTTTATCCCTAGATCTCTGATCCACCTTGCATCGACTTTTGTGTATACATTTTTTCCTATGTATTTATAATAGCATTCATAGAAAAATACTTTTCATTTATCTTTTTCCACATGTATTTCTGTGTAAGAGATATATTATTGAGGATTTTATTAGTATACATGATAATAATAATTATAAATATTACACTAATAAACAGATTTTCATAAAATTAATATGACTGTACAATTTAAAACAAATTATCTTTTTCTCAAGAAACCTGATATTACTGATTCTTTGGACTGAAATTCGTTTCCCTCATTTACATTTCCACATTTATTAGTATGGTAGTATTTGATAATTATGAAAATTCTTATAACAAAGAAATTAGGAAACATTTCTTAAATGTTAAGCATATTTGTTCTCCATTCTCCCTCCTCCCCAAAACTAGGAATTTATTTAAGTTTGGTGTATTTTAGGTAGGCCATTCTATGCAATTTTAGAAAAAAACTGTAGTAAGTATATGTTTAACATGACATTTTTCAGTTACACTGTTTTATTATGTAATTCATGAATTAAATTATGTTATTCAACATACAACAACATAACCCATTTCTAAATTTCCCCATTGTCCTTAACAAAAGCTCAGTGTCCTCAAGCAAATGCCCTTTCTCCCTGATTTTCTTATAATAAAACCTGTTACCATCTGTGGTGAAAAACTGTACTGCAATCCCAAAAGTATGGTTCAAATCGAACAGCTGCTTCCTGGGAGAAGGATGAGCAATCTCCTCTGAATAATTAACTGCCTCTGTAAACCCACTGGAGGGTCAGCTATGTGTCGGTTACTACTCTATGTTACACAACAACAACAATCAATATGACAGACTCAGGGAGACCTTGTGTGTAGAATGAAACTGTGATCCATAGGGTGGTACCTTTCATACCTTACTGTTTGCAATTTGGAGTTTTTTCCTCCCTCTTTTGAGGAGCCATATGCAAAATTAAATTCCTATTTAATTTGAGAATAATTTCTTAATAATTTTATTAATTCCTTCATAATGTCTTCTACCAACAAAAACAACATTGATGTTATAGGATGAATCATCAGAGACTATATCCCTCAAAATTAAAAACATGCCATTTTTGCCCAAAATTAATAAAAGAAGTTTTTTATTGCCTTTTTCCCCCCTAGCCAAAGCATTTTGGTTAAGGAGGAAGGAGGGACAAATGTTGTTTTTCAATTTCATGATCAACTCAAATTGTAGTATTAACTTTACAACTATAAGTGTGATTGATTGAAAATGTTAGAAATTTGAGCTACCATGTAGAACTTAAATTATTTTGCTGATATTGTGAGAAACAGATGTTAATACTGACTTGCAATTAGTATTGAAGAATAGATATTGATATTGATATTCTTTATATGAGGGCATAAACCCAGAGAAAGTAAATTTTGTTTTCCTACTCTCTTTCTTTAAATTTTTTTAGTGTCATGGTGTCATCCCCAGGAAAATGCCTTCCTGTATCTTACAAGCTTTCAGAACCTGTTATTTCAGCCCAAGAACAAAAGCATCAGGTAAGACCTTTGTAAAAAGGAATTAGTTTATTAGAGAAGAAGTATGATACTATGTATGCTTGAAAGGTTGTGGTCAGTATTTTAAAAATTGTGCATTAGCTAAGCTTATGAGATACAATTAAACTTATTTTCAGTTTAGGAAAAAATGCAATGAAACTCTAAGTTTGGATTTTTCTGTGTTTATTTTTTAAAGTGTTATTTCTCTTTTATTTAGACTATGCTATACAGCAAATTGGTGGAAGCCAGGCAGAAGCAATCCAGTAAAATGGATGTTCCTCCAGCTATTCTAGCAACCAATAAGATACTACTAGATATGGCCAAAATAAGGTAATCAGTCTATCTTTGTATGTTGTGATATATTTTCTTGTATAATAATAGATTTTTAAAATATATAATAACGACCATAACTTCATCTGTCATGTGTGTAGAATGTCCCCAAATATCTCATTCTCCTATTCCTGTAGACTCGTGTTTCTCAGTGAATAAAAACCAACTATTTTTCCAGAAAATTTTTTTCGTACATAGAAAATCCAACTTATTTTCCAGTTACTCTCTGTGTACACATTTTACATTTCATTCAAGTGCTGAAACTCTTAATTCTAAATTCCTTTGGTTTGTTTTTTTTTTAATTGTAATTTGGATGAGAGCATACAAAGCAGATTGGTTTTGCAACAATTCATACATACTTTGTATTGTAACACTGGTTACAGTCCCTACAGTGTAGCAGCAGTTCTCCATGTCTTCCCCATGTTTCTCATTTCCATTTGTCCTTTCCTTCCTGTCTTTCTCTGCCTGCTGAGCTTTACCCCTGGGGAAATGTTTCCGTTTTGATCGCTATGAGTCGCAGGCGACTCGACCGCACATAACAACAACACAACAAGTAATGCATAAGTCTTTGGTGTTACCTTTCCATTTGAAGATCTATCTACTTCTTCGCTGAACTGAAGAATGACTAAGGACTAAAGTCTCAGAGGTTCCATCAGTCCCTTCTTCCAGTAAGCCTGGTGTTTTATGATTTTGAATTTTGGTCCACTTTTTCCTCCTGCTCTATGCAGGACTGTCTACTGTTATCCCATACAGAGCAGTCTACAGTGGAAGGCAGGCATCATCTAATTCTTTTGATCTCAGTCGTGGAGATTTGATAATTGCTTGGTTTATAAGTAATAGTGAGTAATTGTTTCCATGTATTTTTTATTTTCTTCACTCTTCTTTGCTTCAGGTGAGAAAAGACTATAGTTGCGTTGTAATTTGCTCCTTGCCAGCTTTTAAGACCCAAGTTGTTATTCATTAAAATAGGACATGGCACATTGTTTTTCTGGGTAATTGCTGTGTAATTAACCTTGATGTCCCCCACATACTATGGTTCTGAGCCCAAATGCTCAGGACCTTAAGCATTTGATTAAATTTTTTATTTTTATTAAAAATTTATATAATTTTGTCACTGTATACCCTACTATATTCATGTATACACTTGTATCATAAATAAATATGTATGTATAAATATCTCTGCCAAGCTTATAAATGCTCATGAATATAGTCCCATATGCTTTCATATACCTATTCAATTTATGTGTCTATATATGTATCTATTCATGGATTGTAATTACTGTTGCAGTATTATGGATGTAATAATACTTGCCTTTGTTGCCGTTGACTCTTTTATTCCCTTTATTATCCTCTTTGCCTTGCTAATTTTGTGCTGGCCACTTCCTTATTTTATATACCTTTTTTTTTCACCCAAATTAGTACATGTCTAAACTCTGCCAATTTATCCTTCCTTCCCCTTGAACCTACCTAATAGATAATCTTCAAATAATAATTCTGTCTGTGTGTACTTTTTCTAGATTTTTTATACTAGTGGTTTCATACAGTATTTATCATTTCACAATTGACTGATTTCATCTGTGTTAGAAGGTATTTTGCTGATTCATTGGTACTCTTTGTTAACAAGTATTCTGTTGTGAGTATGTTTGTCTGTTCATCATTTGGTCCAATTGATGGTCACTTAAGTTGTTTCCATCTTTTTTCTCTTATGAATAGTACTACAGTGAACATGATTTTAAATATATCTATATGTTCTTATTTTTGTAGGTTATACACCTAAAACTGATATTAAGTGGATCATATATTTTTTTTTTTCGGTATTTATTTTTAAGGACGTACCATACTATTTTCTGAACATATTTCTTTAATCATACTACTATGTCTAAGAGCACACATGTTCAAAACTTCTGATAATGTTTTCTTTCTTGGAACATATATTTCCTTCTCCACTTATATATATAAACTGCTTTCAGAATTTTGTATGTTCTTTGTGTGTCTGTGACTTCTTTGTAACACTATGTTAGTTCAACCTTTCCAGCTTTAACCTTAAAACTCACATTCATTTCTGTCAAACCCTTACCAACTCATAGCTAACATTTGAGCAAGTTTTTGGAAGCTGTAAATTGCACAAGGGGAGATCTTTCTCCTGCAAAGATGTTGATGGATTCAAATGACCAGATAGGTGGCCCTTTGTTATTAGTAGTTGTCAAGTCAAGGATGACTCACAGTGACCCTGTGAACAACACCCTTAAATCCTGTCCTATCCTTGTCTTCCTCATCATTTCTGATACGCTTGGGTCCGCTGCTGCAGTTACTCTGTCAGTCCATCTTGTTTGGAGTCTTCCTCTCTTTTGTTGACCTTCCACCTTTCTAAGCACAATATCCCTTTCCAAGGAATAGGCTGTCTTAGCAACATGTCCAAATTATGAGAGACTTAAGCTTCACCATCCTTGTCTCCAAGGAGTATTCTAGCTACACTTTTTTGTTCACTTATTTTTGTTCACATATTTGTTCATTCTTTTGGCAGTTAGTTCATGGGATAGTTCGTACTCTTCTGCAGTATCACAACTCAAAAGCATCAATTCTTCTGTCATCTTTATTCATTGTCCAGCTTTCAGATGCATGACAAGTGATTAAAATGAACATGGGCTGAATTAGGCACACCTTGGTCTTCAAATCGACGTCATTGCTCTTCATTACTTTTTAGAGGTCCCTGACACTGGATTTGCCCAAACCAATATGTTTTCTAATCTCCTGACTGCTTGTTCCAAGGGTGTTGACTGTCGATCTAACGTGTCTCCTTAGACTATTGCAAAATTTTCTTAATTGGTCATTCTTCTTTCTTCAGTCTTTTCTTGCTGTTTCATATGATATGTGAATATCATATCAAGGGTCCTTGGGTGATAAGAACATTTAAATGTTTGATTCCTAATTAAAGATTTAATGGTTTGAATCTGCCTGAAGTTACTATGGAAAAACGGCCTATCATCCTCTGAACGAGCACAACCATTGAAAACTCCTGGCAGCATAGCCCTGCCACTAAAGCACATGGGACTGCTATGACCAAGAGTGGTTTGGTATTTGGGGTTATTGAGTAACATATTAAATCTTTCTGTGTTGCACTTCTACATTAATGATTTCCCATTTTAATAAGAACTTCTTTGGCCTAGAAGCACAATTATGGATTTAAATTTACTTTTTTGTCTTAGTCACAGGAACTACCTTGATGGTTGTTTACCATTTATTGAAGACTCTATTTCAAGTTACATGTTTATTTACAACATTACCACTGCTTTGTAGTTTCTTTGATTTCCTCAAATTCTTTTATGAAATCTCTCAAGATCAAACTTTATTTCTCTTCCTTCATGAAATATTTTATGGTCTTATCAGCAAAGTAATTTTTGCCTTTGAAGTCATGAAATACTTTCTGATGTGTTGCTTCTTTGGAATTTTGCACACAGTGCTTGCTTTCAATTTTGTTGGTAATGTAATGTATATGTTGTAGTACTATCTAGATTTTAAATTCTTAAATAAAGATGTATGTTCCTCATATATTTGTACATCCACAGCAAACAGGAGAAGCCCAGTAAGTACCAAGTAAATAGATATTTTAAAATCATTATTTTCAAAAACAGTTATCCAGTAATTGTATTTATATTTACTTTCTTTTAAAATTTACTTTTGTCATTGAATTTCATCCAAAAGATAATACTTTTAGTTCAAAAATCTTTCAATAATATTAGATAGTCCCTATAATTGTTATATCATTAAAAATCAATATTGCAGGACTATCCTTAAATATTTAGAGATGGTATTTAAAGAAAAGATAATCAGTCATTAAATTATGTACATTTAGGGTATTAGACAAACTGAGAAATATTAAGGCAAAAAGCTTATGTAGTTTTATACTAGGTTTGCTATATGTAATCATTCAGGTGGCCTAATGGGTTAAGAGCTGCACTTCCAACCCAGAAGTATGCAGTTTGAATTAGCTAGCTGTTCTGAATGGGAAATATGCCCACGTCTTTGCATGTGCTATTAGTAGCCTCTGAAAACCCACCGGAGAATATGCTTATGGCTCATTCTGACTTGCTTGCACATAACAAAAACAATGAAGTCAAACACTTCATAGGAGAAAATAATGAATGAAACGTCTTTTTTTTTTTTTGAAACTTTCTTTTGAGAGATTTTAGCCTCAGTTATTCTCAATTAAAGTCTAATACTTTCTCCCTATAATTTCTGTAAAAAGAGAAAAAGTCGTTTTCTTTATGAGAATGACCTTTTCACCAATTAATATTGTTTTGTGGTATTGGTCATTGTAGTGCTTTCCTTGTTACATTGCTAAAAAAAAAAATTGAAATAGTGGAAAGTGAAGAAATAATTTATAAAATAATTATTATATTTGACGTTGGCTATGTTTTTTTTAAAGTGAACTTAAATGTAGAACAATCATATAAAAATAAGTATTTCTTGAGCATCAGATACATCCTGTGTTTCTAGAGTGATAATATTTCACTGGTTTCTAATGTTTTGGTTTGTTTTTTTTTCTTTCCAAATTACAGACCTACTACAATTGAAAATGTGAAAAGGATTGATGGTGTTTCAGAAGGCAAAGCTACTATGTTGGCTTCGCTGATAGAAGTCATCAAGCAATTCTGTGAAGGAAATAGTATGCAGGTAAATGGCTGTGGTATGCACAGACTCTTAGAGGACAGACATCTTTGGATAATTTCAAAAGTATGCCTCAAAAGCAGCATCTCCTTATATTTGTTCTTCCTTAGTGGACTCCTAGGAAAGGAATGCAATATATTCCTACAATAAATTAGTTAGTAAACACCTGTTGGCCATTGTTGTGGTTGTTATGTGCTGTTGAGTCGCCTGTGATCCACAGCAACCCTGCATACAGCAGCTCTGAAGCCTGCTCTGTCCTGAGCCAGTCTCACTAATTCCGACACACCAACCCCCGTTATCCCAGTTGTTACCTAATTTTTTAACTGATACTAAATATATTACTTTACTAAATATTTTGTTGTTGTTGTTGTTGTTATGTGCCGTCGAGTCGTTTCCGACTCATAGCGACCCTATGCACAACAGCCCTAAACCCTGCTCTATCCTGCGCCAACCGCACCGCCTCTGACACACCCATCCCGATTACCCCAGTCACTGAATCAATCCATCTCATCCATACTTGATAGTTCTGCCTAGGTTGCCCTTTCTGTTAGTCTGCGTGTGTTCTGTTGTGCATAGGGTTTTCAGAGGCCTGCTATTTCAGAAGTGGGTGGCCAATCCTTCTTCCTAGTCTGTCTTAATCTGAATGTTCAGATTTAGAGGAGTATCTGACAGACAAGCAATTTGTGGAGCAGTGAAAGATAAATCCCTTACTGATACTAAATTTTTTTATTTACTGATACCTAATTTTTTAACTGATACTAAATGTATTACTTTACTAAATATTTACTGATACTAAATATATTTGCTTATAGCTTTCTGTTTTGTGTAAGTTCTTACTTTCAAATTTGAGTAAATACTGTACTTAGGTTGATAAATTCTACCTGTAGTTTCCAAATATGGTAGTTAGAAATTAAAGCAGCAATAGTGTCACATGTGTCAGAGATGATTAGTATGGCACAGAATAGGACAGGATTTGGGTTTGTTGTTCACAAGATCACTTTGAATTGTACTCAACTCTACAGTACCTAACAACAACATGAATTGACAAGGATTGCAGCTTCTTTATTTTTCTTGTTATTTGGCATTCTCCACCTTTGGTCCTTTCCAAGAATGCTTTTTTGATACTAAGTTGATTTTGTATTATTCTCTTTAAGCTTAATTCTATTTCTTCATCTCCTTTTATTAGTTTTTGCTTTACTGTAAGTGACTATTTCCACAAGAAATGTTTGCGCTAACTTCACATACTGTCTCTCTGCCATATACTCCTGCCTAGAAAGTAAAACAAGGTGGAGTGGTGAAAAGTGGTATTTGGAGTCAGATGATTAGTACTTTCATTCTACTGTGGTTTACTAGATGAAGCTGCATGTGTTGTTTCTAGGTCTCTGTGTCCTTACCTTTAATAGAAATAATTCTTTTCTAAACCCATATAGTTGAAGTAAGGGATTGGATTACTCATAAGCAAGTTGAATCTGAAGCAAAAAAAATGAAATCAAAACCACAAAGGACAAATATTTGACCTTGAATCTATCCAAACTGAATGTCCATCCAGGAACAAGCTTGAGGACTTGAAAACTAATGAGTGAAGACCAGATGAGCTGTAGGAAGATAACAAGAATATCATCCAAGAGGAATGGGAAAGGTCATTCAAAAGACAGAGGAGGAAGAAAAGACCCAGATATGTCAGAAAAGATTCTGGATATTGCACTAGAGCATTGAGAAGCAAAGCAAAAGGAAGAAATCAGAGGGTTCAAAGAGCTGAATTGAATATTTCAAAAGGCAGCTTAAAAAGACAAACCAAAGTATTATAATGAAATGTGCAAAGAGCTGGAGTCAGAAAATAAAAAACAATAAACTTGCTCACCATTTCTTAAGCTCAAAGTTTCCAACAAACAGGCAAAGGCTCTTAGCTCTGATTCCAATGATATAGCAGTCCCAAGATCCTGTCTCACATTCTCTGCTGTAGCTTTTATGGCTGTTGGTTGTATAGGTCCTCTTGCTCTTTTCCTGGGAATGAGGTTTCTTCACCAGAGGCAGGGAAGTCTCTCCTTCTATTCCTGGGTTGCTCAATTTAATGGTGAGACTAGCTGGTGTGTCAAAACCCTTGAAAATTGGCTTTTCCAGCCATTACATTATCCCCCATTAGTGGGCAGGGATGATCTCCAGCTGCCTTAACTATGGACACATGGTCTTACAAATCATCAACAGCTTTGGGACCAATATAAGAGAGTAAGAGAGTGCTTTCCACACTGTAAAAAAGAGGGCAGTGATGGTGGTGGACAGATTATGAAGAGATTGGCACTGCTGTAAAGAAACTGGCAGGATATAACCAGAGGAACCCTGAAGATAAAGGCCACAGTTAAAAGTTTTGCTTGCTGGGTGATGGAAGGTCAAGCTAACTTACAGCTGCTCTGAGATAAAGTTTGCTGGATGATTGAGGAAACCAGAGGCTTCTTGTATTTGTGCTACTGAACTGAACCTGGACTTTCATTAATTGAGGAATTGTGCTGTGTTATTCTGGTTTAGGACTGCTGGACTAAAAGTGTACTTGTATTGTGAGATATTCTTTGCCTCCCTGACTCTCCAACCTATTTTTCTAATAAACCGCACAACTGTGAATAAAGTCTGTGAGTCTTGCAACAAACATCAGACTCAATGGTTGGTAGAAATAGGTTCAGGAGCATGTTGAGGTGGCATGTCTGACCATGACCATGTAACCATATGTATAATGTTGTTGTTAAGTGCTATGGAGTTGAGTATGACGCATAACCACCTATTAATGATAATAATATATAATATTTTGTATTGTATTATTTTTATAATACTATGGATATTGTTGATGAGGAAAGTTCCCCTCTCTGAAGCAGGTGGAAGTCAGATTTGGCTGCCCTGTGTTACTACCACTCTTTTCATACTAGCCAATCCTCTTGTTGATTGGTAGATGGCCATTCCCTTTGTTGGATAGGCTAGCATTCCCTATTTTGCATTTTCCATCTATATGGCAAAGTCAAATGATGGCTAGGAAAACCATATTGAAAGGTAAACTCCACAGTGAGTAAATGACTATGTAGAAATTTTAATAAAACAAAACTATATTGTTTAGTATTATTGAGGAATATGAATATTTCTCTTTGACTTTTTTTCATGCTCTGATTGTAAATCTTCATAGGAAGAGAATGTGAATCTTTCTTCCACAAAGTGGCAGGTGAATTTGTATCAACAATCTTTTCGTTAATAGCTCATCACATTATGACTGCACTAGTCTCCTCTTATATGTCTGTTTGTATTGTTGTTGTTGTTGTTGCTAGGTCCTGTCGAGTTGAGTACAACAAACAGTGACCCTACTATGAACAAAAGATCTGAACCTTGTTCTATCCAATGACATCCTCACACTTCCTGATAAACAAGACCCCATTGCAGCAGTCACCGTATCAGTCCACCTGATCGAGTGTCTTCATCTACTTAGCCGACACTACACTCTTCTTAGCATCATGTCCCTCTCCAAAGAATAGCCCCTCCTACGAACATGCCCTAAGTATGTGAGGCAAAGCCTCATCATTCTTGCCTCCAAAGAGCATTCCAGCTACACGCTCTCCAAGACGTATATGTTTGTTCTCTTGGCTGTCCATGGAATGTCCGTGCTCCTCTCTAACGTCACAGCTCAAAGGTATCAATTCTTTTTCTGTCATTCTTATTTTGTCCAGCTCTCAAATGCATAACATGTGACTGAAAAGACTATAGTCTGAATCAGACACACCTTAGTCCTCAAACTGACATCATTACTCCTCAGAAATTTGGAAAGCTTCCTAACTGCAGATTTTCCTAGTGCAATGCGTCCCCTTATTTCCAAGCAAGATGAAGCTAGTGACAGTTTTCATTCTCTTCTCTACCCATCATGACACTGCCTATCGGTCCAGTGGTAAGAATCTTCATTTTCCTGACATTGAGATGCAATCCATACTGAAGTCTGCATTCCTTGATCTTCTGCAATAAGTGCTTCAAGTCTTCCTCACTTTCAGCAAGCAAGATTGTGTCACCTGCATAATGTAGGTTATTGATGAGTCTCCCTCCAATATTGATGCTACACGCCTCTTCATAAAGTTCAGCTTCTTGAATAATTTGTTCAATATACAGATTGAATAGGTGTGTATAGAGAATACAACCCTGACACACTCGCTTCTTTATTTTAAACCATGCAGGGTTCCCTGCTCTGTTCACACAGCAGCCTCCTGGTGCAGGTACAAGTTCTTCATGAACACAATTAAGGACTCTGGGACTCCCATTCTTCTCAATGTCAGCCTCAACTTGTTAGGATCCACACAGTCAAAGGCTTCTTTTATCGGCCTGTTCATGTATATCATATATGTATGAGGAATGCACTTACAGGGAAGGATACAACTGGAAAGTTTTCATTGGACAAGTCAGACATTATTTCTTATAGAAGAATTATTGGGGAGTCAACTTACATGAAAACTATTTAGCAAGCCTGGAATAAAACAAGTGAAATTCTAGTAGTATCTTAAATAGTATCTCACCTCAAAAGATAATTTGAGGCTTTTTCATCTAGTACAGAAGAACACCTGTACTTCTGAGATTCTACTTCCTACTTTCCATTGAATCCTACTTGCTAGGGAAATGATAATATTCTAGTATAATTAGTCAAAATATCTCATCTGCATAATGTTGGGTGAAGGTAAATAGCCATTCTGCCTTTCTGGTGTTTTATCTACGTAGTTGTTATGTGCCATCTAGTTGCCTGCAACTCATAGTGACCCTAATATACAATAGCCCTAAACCATGTGTCAATCTTATTGTCTCTGACAGACCTACCCCATTACCTCAGTCACTGAATTAGTCCATCTCATCAAGGGTCCTTCTTTCCTGCTCTGTCCCTCCACCCTCCCAAGTATGATGTCCCTCTCCAAGGATGGGTCCCACCTTGTAACATGTCCAAAGTATGTCAGACGAAGCGTCAGAATCCTTGCCTCCAAGGAGCAGCCTAGTCTCACCCTCTCTAGAACAAACCTGTTTCTTCTCCTATAAGTCCATGGTATATTCAATACTTTCTTGTGCACCACAGCTCAAAGGCATCAATTCTCCTTCTGTCATCTCTAGTCATTGTCCAGCTCTCTGACACATAGCAAGCAATTATGTGATGACTATGGCCTGAATCACTTGCACCTTAGTTCCCAGACTGACATCATTGCTCTTCAGTACTTTGGAGAGGTCTCTGACAGCAGACTTTCCCAGTGCAATTTGTCTTAATTTTCTGGCTACTGGTACAAAGGGTGTTGATTGTAGAGCCAAACAAACTAACACTGTTAGCAGTCTCAGTCTCTTCAGTATCTATCATGATGCTGCCAGTCGGCCCAGTGGTGAGAATCTTTATTTCTTGATGCTAAGCTTGAATCCATGTTAAACGCTGCAGTCCTTGACCTTCTGCAGCAAGTGCTTCAGCTCCTCCTCAGTTTCATCAAGCAGGGTTGTGTCATCTGTATAACACACATTGTTGATGAATCCTCCTCCAATCCTGATGCCACATTACTCCTCATACAGCACAGCCTCCCAGATAATCTGTTCTGCATATAGATTGAAAAGGTGTGGAGATAGGACATATCCCTGGCACACTCTTCCTAATTTGAACCATGCAGTGTTTCCTTGCTCTGTTCTAATGACAGCCTCCTTGTCCAAGTATATGTTTCATATAAGCACAATCAAGTGTTCTGGGATTCCCATTCTTCTCATAGTCAGCTGCAATTTGTTGTGATTCACACAGTCAAATGCTCTTGCAAACTCCCTACTTTCAGCCAAGATCCAGCTATTATTAACTGTAACATCCCTAGTACCACAGCCTCTTCTAAACCCAGCCTGCACTTCAGACAGTTCTCTGTTGATGTTTTGTTCCAGTCGGTTTTGAATAATCTTCAATAGAATCTTACTTGCATGTGATACTAATGATATTGTCCAGTATTTCCTCACTCTGTTGAGTCACCTGTCTTTGGAATGGGAAGAAATATAGATCTCAGTTGGCCCATCCTCCAGCTTTCTTGGCACAACTTGGTGAGCACTCCAGGGCAACGTCTGTTTTTTGAAATATATTAATTAGTATGCCATCAGTTCCTGGGACCTTGTTTTTTTGCCAATTCTTTTATAGCAGGTTGAACTTCTTCTTTCATCACCACAGGCTCTTGCTCATAAATTGTTTCAGTAAATTCTTCCTTGTCTGCCAATTCCTTTTGGTACAATGACTTTGTGTACACTTTCCATTTTCTTTTAATGCTTCCTAGATCATTTAATGTTCTGCCCAAAGCATCCCTGAGTATTGCAACTCAAAGCTTGAATTTGTTCTTCAGTTCCTTCAGCTTAAGAAATGCTGAGAGAATTAGGACCCTTTGCTTTGATTTCTGACTCCAGCTCTTTGTGCATTTCATTGTAATACTTTATCTTTGAGCACTGCCCTTTGAAATCTTCTGTTCACCTCCTTAATATATTGATTTCTTCCCTTTGCTTTGGCTTCTCAGCACTCTAGTGCAATATTCAGTCTCTTCTGACATCATTCTTGGTTTTTACTTCCTCCTCTTTGTAATTAACCTTTTGCATTCTTCCTGGGTGATATTCTTGATAGTCTCCCACAGTCATCTGCTCATTAGTTTTCAAGGCCTGAGATGGGTTTGAAATTCAGGTGGGATAAACTCATGGTCAAATTTTGGTTCCTGTGGATTTGATTTACTTTTCCTTAGCTTCAGAGTATAATATAGTTGATGCGGTTTTGCTTCCTAGGATTGTACTGTAATTCTACTTCTTGAGATTACCACTGTCAGACTCCGCTTGATGAGTGTTGCAGTATTACCAAATTCTTTAGTCATATATTTATATATGGTTTGATAAAAAGTCGCTGATTACATTTCCAGAATTTTGGTTTAAGGTTGTCCCAGCACAACATGTACACTGCAGTGTTAAGTGCTCTGATTTGTAAGAGACGTACAACTGATCTTCCTGCAGGTTTTCAGAGGTTGTAAATCACACAGGAAGGAGATTGTCCATTTTTCTCGTGCAGAGCAGCTGATGGATTTGTGTTGTCAGCACATCTTACAACTAGGCCATCAGAGCACCCTAGGGTGTACTGTAGTTGAAATATCTGGGTAATAGGATTGATTTTAAGCATTTATCAAAAACTACAATCATAATGTGGAAGTGATCTCACATGAAAACCTTCAAAGTCATTCAATAAAATAATATTCCTCTTTGTATCTGGGAGGGTTTAGAAAGCTGGAGCCTTACATGGCTTGTAATTTTGCCTGTCTTCTCAGTTCATCAAGCTGCAGTTTTCAAAGAATTGGTGAACCAATCTGGAGAACTGCTCATGATTTGTTTTGGATTGAAATGGACTCGCTCATGTTACAATAGATCACATTCTGTTTATTTAATAATTTAGGTTTAGTGTTTATTCATTTGTTTCAGAAGGTAAGTTGGCAATTTGGAGGTAAACTCTTGGCTGTATATGTGTTAAAAGATTATTATTTGGTCGTTGCCATTTTTGGGCCAGGTTTTCTTGAAATTCATTTGTGGTACAGATGATGAGGATGCGGCAACAAATTCTCTTACCGTATCACTCCATGGGATAGCACAGTCATGAGAGGGGAGAGGAATATCCAGTGCTGAGCTCCTAAAACACAGGAGATCCTGAAGCTGCAGTCACCAGCATCACATTCCTAAGAGAAAACTCAGATCTGTCATGTTTATTGGCTTTCATTGAATGTTAAGTGTCTACAAACAGCGTCTTCAATTTAAACTTTCAATTAAAGTTCTTCAGATTTTGCAAGTGGTTGAGCTTCAATAGCTATGCGATTATAAAAATTCTGAAAATCCATTAGAAAAACCACAGGATGGCAAAAATAAAAGATAAAAGCCTGCCCATAAAAAAGGCTTCAGAGGTCCCTGCTGTCCCAGGAACAGATACCTGTAGTATCCAGCACTGCCATGAAAATAATCTGCTATAGGCAGGCAGAGTTTGATGGGCTTTTGCAACCCTGTAATAGTTCATTAGTTTAGTTTTTAATCTTTTAGTCCTTTATTTCTTTTAAACTTTTCTTAAGAAAGAATTGTATTTAGTATTTCACTTACTCCTTCAAGACTAGAACTTCAGATTTTGTATTTCTTTTTTAAATTGTATTTACATAGTTGGAGTCTGGCTACCTTCTTATGATAAATGAGGATTTAATATTGTCGTACCTAAATTTAAATATTCATTCTTTTAAAAGATCAGATAAATGGTTGGCCTATGTTATATAGTTAATTTTTTATTTCTTTTTTATCTAAAGGGAAGATAAAGCAAGTTCATTCCAAAAGCATGTTTGGTGTTACAGATAAAAAGAAATAAAAAATTCATTCCTCTAGAATTGTTACTGCCTTTTAAGTCAATTTTTAAAAAAATGAATATATTTTTAAAACCTTTTCCCATTCTTCTTATAATACCATAAATCTCTATTTAAAAATTTTTGTATCATATTACTTTTTTACTAATAATCAGTAATAAATGAAATATTATATCGATACTGACCATTTTTGCTACATTTAAATTTTTATAGACAGATATTTTTTCAAGCACAGAACCTCAAGAAGAACAGAAGACTTTGGTCACAAACAGTGAAGGTTGCTCACTTTCCCAGTCTGGGTTCCTCACTTACTCTTTATTCCAAGAAAAGAAGATGTCTTTAGTAAGTTGTACTTTCATGTTAGAGACAATTTTCCTATTCATCTAAATTTATATTTTTATTAATATCTTAGTATTAACAGTGTGACTTGCGATTAATTTCTTCTATCTATAATAAATTACATTTTATCTTTAGTTTTAAATCACAGCATCATTTCCTATTTCTGTTACAAGTCATTGTTGTCAGTGAAATAACATCAGTAACACTAGTTTAATTACTATTACAGAAATTCTATCAGAACTACTACACTTTCATATTTGTACCTCCGTAATATTGCAGCAGCTTTATTTTAAGAATTTTTAAAGGTAAATACTACTTTTAAACAACTGTTAGTATATGTACTGATTAAAAAGAAATCTCCAAGATACATTGTTAAGTTAGGGAAAAAGACCCCAAAAAACCCAATGAAATGTACAGAGCTGTTTGGAAAGCAAATGTAGAAGTATATGTTTTTAATATTCTCAAATAAATAAATAAAAAAGCATAGAATACTTATGTAAGATTGTTTAAGAAAATGAACTACGAATGTTAAAAGAAAATTGCCTTTCATTCTGTATCCTATATATTATTCAGTTTGTTTTGTAATTTTGCCTGAACTTTTTTGGAAAAAAGTTATCATTGTTATCATTATGATTAAAAAATGGGGACACTTAATCTTTCTCATTATTGTAGCATAAATCCTTAAGACTCTCTTGATTTTTTTAATATGCAAAGTAGAGAGCATTATCTTTTTGGAATACGAGTAGAAAGACTTCCAGCCGAATGAGACTTCCAGCTAAGTTTAATTTGTTTAAATTCCTATCCCCTCTGACATCAAATTGATTTGGACTGGGCGAGGTGGTTTAATGCCTCTTTTAACTATTTTTTATGTCTCCATCCATTAGGCTACCGTACATTATGTTCTAGGTGAAACCCAAAATATATGAGAAGAAATAACTCATAGTTTGTTTTAATAACTTAACAGATGTTCTAGTTGGACATGCAAGTACAAAGGTTGTTACATGAGAAACTGATAATTGTTTTGTGCCAGTTTTGAGATAAAATACATGGTAAATAGAAATTTTTGCATTCAAACTGTTCAATAAAGAGTAATTTACATATATATGTTAAATATACCTGTATACACTTTGACCATATATGTATGTAGAGCTGATTAGAGTTACTAAGAAAATTGGATTGTGAAGTCCTCATTTCCTGAATAAAGTGCATTGTAATACTCAACCATGATATGAGGCTTTATGTATTAAATTGCATATTTTATGATTGCAGATATGAAGAGTGGTGTATCTTAATTGAGATCTTTTGCTGTTAATTGGTTGTATTTTATTATGTAATATGATGTGTTACAATTAGCTGCATCTCTCGGGAGTCTGAGATAGTCTTGCCAGTTAACCACAGATTAAACATGTTAAGTACCAATTAATCAGGAGCAATAATACGATTAGTTTTAGGTAATTTGATGCCATGTATCAAATAACTCTGATATTATGCACACATGGTGCATGTTGTCTAGTAAAAAAAGATAGTCATTTAATGAAAGTAATTAAAAACTTGTCTTTGAAGAAGAAACTATTTCTTTAAATCCCTTTTTTCTGTGAATTTTCACCATTCATCAGAATTCAGTTCAAATTAAAATTTTCAAAATGTATTGAAAGAGAAACAATTTTATAGAGTCACTAAAGTCAGCGTTTTTAAATTTAACACAAATCTTGTCAAGTTTAGTAGTAGGAAAATGGTGACAGCATTTGTTAAGTTGTATTTTTTATTAATAACACCAATTTGAAACAACCTGTTAAAATCTTTTATTAATATATTTAGAGCTTATGTCATCATTAAACATTTACAGTTTTTGTTTTTAGAAATTTATGTAATCAAATTCCAGGTTTTATTTCACATATATAAAATGTTAGATTCATTTAGTATGTTCTCAAAAGCTTTTACATTTATGTAGAATGACTACTACTTGATTTTTAAGGTGAATAATTAGAAAGAGATAAGGATTGAATTTCTCATTAAAGTGAGGTCATTTTATTTTAGTTAATATACTATAGGGCTTGTAGAGTTCTGTAATATGGGTAGTTTCTCAGAAGACAGTTAAAATGAACATTTTTCAGTGAAGGTTTAGCTCATTGTTTTTTTCTGAGTAAAGGTTTTAGTACCTGGAAATTGTGGACATCTTACTGCTGATTAGTATGATGTACTTTTTAAAACTCACTGGTTCTTTTGCTGTCGTTTCTGTAGGTGAATATAGCTGATAACAGGACTCTGCCTCTCACAACAGTTGGCATGCATTTATCCCAAGCGATGAAAGCTGGCTACCCACTGGATGTGGAGCGAGCAGGCCTGACTCCAGAGGTTCAGAAGATTATAGCAGATGTTATCCGAAACCCTCCCATCAACTCAGGTGATAACACATGACCCTAGTCTGTAGCCTTAATGACTTGAGTCATAGAATCCAGATGAAATAAACAAACAATCTATTATTATACTTTTGCTTGAGTAGCATTAACCCTTAATGCTACAATACAAATTTAAATCTTGCTTTTAGAATATAGAAAATCAGTCTTTCTTGCTCAGTAGCAGTATCACTGAGAAATTTGTTTTCTCCTTTGTAGTTTCACACTGCAATTTCTCCTCCCATCCATCTCTAGGTCAGTACATCTCTTTTTTTTTTAGGGTCTTCTCTTTTGTTAACACTCCACTTTTTCAAGTATGAAGTCTTCTAAGTACTGGCCTCTTCTAACAACATGCTCAAAGTATGTGAGACAAAGTTTCACCTTCTTTGCCTTTAAGGAGCACTCTGGTTTCATTGTCTCCAAGACATATTTGTTCTTTTGGCAGTCCGTGAGCTATGTACTCTTCACCAACACATCTCAAATGCTTGGATTTTTCTGTCATCTTTATTAATTTTCCAACTTTCAGATGCGTAACAAGTAATTGATATAATAGTTGTGAATTTATGATTGTAAATTAATGAATTACTGTTATATGAACAGGGTTAATGTGAATCTGATAGGATTTAGTTAGGTTTCTATATCTGTAAAACTGAAGGCCAAGTCTTGGTTTATGAGGGGTAGCTTGAGTATGACTCATACAAAAAAGCTAGCCAGTGTTTATGGTGGCACTCAAATCTTTTTCAGCTGCTATTTTCTTAAGATTTAAGGTAGAGGAAAATAATAATAATTACTCTATAGCCTTGAATTTTTGGTTTTAATCTCAGTTTCTTCAATGCAAAGGGAAATAGTAATTTAGGGAAAGTAAAACACTCAAATTACACAGCCTTCTTAATCTTTAGTTTTCTCATCTCTTCTTAATATTTATTTTCTGATACATTGTGAAGACTAAGTTAGATTACACACAAAAGATCTTGAATGATAGTGAACATTGAAAGAGTTATAAGTAAGATTTTACTGCATTCTAAAAATACTCTTTTTAATACTCTATCCTTTAAATTTATTAAAACGTAAACCTCCAAATGTTGTTGTTGTTGTGAGGTGCCAGTGAGTCACGTACAACTCATAGCGACCCTATGAACAAAAGATTTGAACTCTTGTTCTATCTTGCGCCGTCCTCACACTTTCTGACACACAAGAGCCCATTATAGCAGTCATTATGTCAGTCCACCTGGTTGAAGGTCTTCCTGTCCTTCACTGACCCTCTACCTTTCTGAGCGTGATGTTCTTCTCCAAGTAATAGCCCCTCTTCACAACATGCCCACAGTATGTGTAGTGAAGCCTCACCATTCTTGCCTCCAAAGAATACTCCAACTGCACCCTCTCCAAGACATATCTCTTCATTCTCTTGGCCGTCCATGGGCTATTCCTTCATTGCTTTTTCCACAGCTCAACGGCGTCAATTTTTTCCCCATTATCCTTATTCACTGTCCAGCTCTCAGGTGCATAGAAAGTGATTGGAAAGACTATGACCTAAATCAGACACACCTTAATCCTCAAACTGACATCATTAATCCTCAGTAATTTGGAGAGCTTTCTAACTGCAGATTTTTCCAGTGTGATGTGTCTCCTTATTTCCTCACTACTGGGACAAAGGGTGTTAAATGTGGATTCAAGCAAGATGAAGCTGTTGGCGGTTTCAATATCCTCTCCATCCATCAAGAGTAAGAATCTTTGTTTTCTTGACAATGAGATACAATCCATACTGAAGGCTTCATTCCTTGATCTTCTGCAACAAGCACTTCAAGTCTTCCTCACTTTCAGCAAGCAAGGTTGTGTGATCTGCATAATGCAGGTTATTGATGAATCTCCCTCCAATCCTGATGCCACACTCCCTCTTCATGGAATCTAGCTTCCAGATATTTTGCTCCGCATACAAGTTGAATAAGTACAGAGAAAATATACAATGCTGACAGACTCCCTTTTCAATCTTAAACCACTCAGAGTTCCCCTGCTATGTTAGCACAACAGCCTCCTGATCCAGGTGTAGGTTCCTCATGAACACAATTCAGTGCTCTGGGATTCCCATTCTCAATGTCAGCTACAACTTGTGATGGTCTACACAGTCAAATGCCTTTACATAGTCAGTAAAGCACAAATAGACATATTTTTGGTATTCCTTACTTTCAGCCAGGATCCATCTGACATCAACAATGGTATCTCTGGTGCCACAGCCTCTTCTAAATCCTGGTGGTACTTCTGGCAGTTCCCTATCTATCCACTGTTCTAGTCATTTTTGAATGATCAGCAGCAGTATTTTTCTTGCATGTGATATTAATGATATAGTAATGATATAGTTTGGTAGTTTCCACATTCAGTTGGACCACCTTTCTTGGGAATGGGAACAAACATGGACCTCTTCCAATCTGTTGGCCAGACAGCTGTCCTCCAAATTTCCTGGCATAGACTGGTGGGTGCATTCAAGGCGGCAGCTGTTAATTCAAACAAATCAGTTGATAGCCCAGTGATTCCTGGGGCCTTCTTTTTGCCAATGCCATTAATGCAGCTTCTACTTCCTCCTACATTACCATTGTTCTTGTTCATAGGACACTTCCTGCAATTTTTCCATGTCAATCTGTTCTTTTTTGTACAGTAGTTCTGTGTATTCCCTCTAGCTTCTTTTGATACTTTCTGGGTCATTCAATATATTGTCCATTGTATTATTCAATTTTGTGACATGAGGCTTAAATTTGTTTTTCAGTTCTTTCAGCTTGAGAAATGCAGACCAAGTTCTTTCCTTTTTATTTTCCAATTCCAGCTCTTTGTACATTCCATTGTAAGACTTTGCTTTGTCCTCTTGAGCTACCCTTTGAAATCTTTTGTTCGGCTCTTTCACTTTGACATATTTTCCTTCTGTTTTGGCTTCTCGGCACTCCAGTGCAATCTTTAGAGTTTCTTCTGACATACATTTCTATTTTTTTCCTTTTCCTGTTTTACCTCTGAATAAGTATATATATAAAACTGTATTTTAAAGAAATGCAAAACTTTAAGTATACAAGGAGATTATAATTATCTTTTTTTCTATTTTCTAAAGATTGTGAGGGTGGAGCAGATCTGGGCACTGTTGCATTTTGTTGTACATAGATTTACAATGAATGCAAAGGAACCCACTGACCCCTAATAACAAGAATTTTTGGGGCAAACATTCTTGAATGACCTAAATGAATATTAATACTAGAACAGAGCATTCAAAACAGAGGAAACACTGTGTGATTCAAAATCAGCAAAGGAGTGCATCAGAGATGCATCTGTCTCCATACCTTTTCAGTCTGTATGCAGAACAGATCATTCTGGAAACAGAGCTGTATGAGGAGGAATGTGGCATCAAGATTGGAGGAAGACTTATCAACAGCCTATGATATGCAGATGACCCAACCTTGGTTGCTGTAACTGAAGAAGACCTGAAGCACTTGCTGCAGAAGGTTAAGAACTGTCATCTTCAATATGGATTGAAGCTCAACTTCTAGAAAACAATTATTATCACCACTGGGCCAATTGGCAGCACCATGATAGATGGAGAAGAGATTGAGGTTGTTAGCAATTACAGCTTTCTCAGCTCCACAGTCAACGCTCTTAACACCAGCAATCAGGAAATTAAAAAATGAATTGCATTGGGGAAATCTGCTATCATGGACCTCTCCAGAGTACTGAAAGCAAAATTGTCAGTCTAGAGAAAAAGGTGTGCCTAATCCAGGCCATGGTCTTCTCAATTACTTGTTATGCTGCAGAGAGTTGGACAGTGACTAAAGATGACAGAAGAAGAATCTGTGCCTTCGAGTTGTGATGCTGGAGAAGAGTCTTGAATATTCCATTGGACTGCCAAGAAAACAGATCAGTCTGTCTCACATACTTTGGGCATGTGGGCAGGAGGGACCAGTTCTTGGAGAGGGACATCATATTTGGAAGGGAAGGACAATACAGGAGAGAAAGACACCAGATGATTGATACAGTAATGGAGGTTGGTGTGTCAGAATTAGTGAGACTTGCTAAGGACAGGGAAGGGTTCAGAGCTGCTTTACATAGAGTTGTTATAGGTTGTAGGCAACTCAGCAGCACAGAACAATATACTATATTGGTTGTTTTTATTTAAGCATCTTGTTTAAAGTCAATAAGACCTCAAGGAGGGCCTTTATATTTAAAAGTCAGTTGTTATTATATTTCAGAGGAACATTCTTCTAAGTGGTACAGCACTGTTCTGTCAGTTTGCTGTCCTGAGGTAACCTGGGCTTGCTGTGATGCTGAACATTGTGCCATTGGGTTGTCAAGTGCCATGTCAGTTAACCATGGTGGACAGTGTTTGGTAGAGCTCCTAGTTTAAGACAGGTTTAGAAGCAGGAGTGGCATCCACTTCCTAAATAACATGCCTCTGAAAACTCTGTGAATTTTGAGAATTGGCAATAGTTATAAAAAGGGTTCAGGTTTTTTATTCATAGGGTCACTATGAGTCATTCTCAACTCAACAGCAGTCAACTACAACAACAACATTGTTGGCAAGGTAAGATTGTAGAGAACAGTTAATGTTTTTTTATTCAGCCAAGTGTTGACATCATCCATTTTATGCCCAGCTGAGTTGTGGAATGTCATCAAGGACATTGTTTATGAACAAACAAAAGAATATAGGAAAGAAAGAAAAGATCAAAAGGGGTGTTAGAACAGACTCTGACAATTTCCCTAGAATATGAAGAAGCTAAGTGGGAGAAAATGTTGAAATGATTGCCAAACAGAAGTTTTCAAATGGCATTTCAAGAAGAAGAGATATTTAAATATATATAATTAGAAAACCAAAAAGATCTAAAATCATTCCACCCTGAGCATACCCTGTCTTGTCTGATCTTGAAAGCTAAGCTCACTCAAATTTGGTTAGTACTTGAATGGGAAAAACAGAAAGGAAAATATGCTTCTCATTTTTAAAACTTGAACTAAAAGTTGAAGCTTCCATTCGTAAGACTAA